AAGGGAGGAGAGACCTAACACAAATGCCCCAATCTCTGAGAGGCAATTGATAGGTAAATGACTGCAATTGCTTTATATTTAATTTAAAAAGGTACAAAATGCTATGGATGCTGAAAAACTGAAATGAAGATGAAAAATGTGGAAAACTCGGTAGGTGAGAGAGAAAGCAACAGAACTAGCATTTCAGATTAATGATCTTGCAACAGATCTGCAAAGTGGAGCTTTTTAAAATTTTTGAGCTGTCTAACAAAAACTGTTAGATGATATAAATAGTCCTGATTGGAAAGACATTAAAAGGACAAATGAATGAGTACATAGCAAAGGAGAGGCCTACAAACAAAGACAATGAGGTGAGGATTTGGGGTTTATTTGGTGTCATTGTAAATGTAGGAGACCATGGAGAGAGTCAGGTTTGGAATTAATGTCGGACTGTTTTAGCAAACAGCAGGCAGAGACAAAATGGGCTCTTACGTTGCTGTGAATCTCTTCTTCTACGGAAATGAAAACGGGAAACATTGGCAAATGTACTGGGTGAGCTAAGCAATTGGACCCAGGGGTCAATGTATTAATATTATAATCCATATTGTTACGACCAGGCTCTGAGCAGATTTCCCTAATTCAGTAGGATTCCAAAATGGATACCCAAATCATAATGCTGCCGGGAGTTGAAGGATGAATTGGCTCCCCTTCTCCATTTGCTCATTCTCTTCAGTTGGTTGCAAAAGGTCAATTTACAAAGAATCCTCTCACGTTTCCCCCCAGAAAAAATGACTTTATATCTTAAAATGAGCCAATTTAACCAGACTTTCTTGAGTTAACAAAGAGTGAATTTATCAGTTACTAAATACATGAAGAAATAATAATGCAACATATATACACACAGGTTAGAACTAAGAAGTGAGACCAAAGAGAGAGCATTTCCTCAAAAGGGATCAGTCTAGGTCACTTGTGAAAGGTAGGTAGAATGTTGTGGTCATTGCAGTGGATGTTATTCATTGCATTGACGTTAGCAATTGAACAGTCGATTTCAACATTCTTTGCTTTGATCAGTTGGAATTCTTTTGCCTTGCTTCTTTTTGACAGTAGTTGGCTGGTAACACTGAGAGTGAGAGTGCCTTTTTCATCTAATTTCCTGCAGTGCAGCGGTATTTAATAGGTCTTCTCAAACTGTAGCATTTAGAGCACACTAGTCCACACACTAGGACGTCAGGCCAGTAACACACACTAACAGGGTTGAAGCTCACTTTTAAACCCATTTTTATATGTACCCCTGGAAAGGTAAGATATCTGTAGGAGGTGTCCTCTTGAGTAATCAGCCTTTTATTCTTTCTGTTTGAACTTGCCCTGACTCTGTACAGGTGTGACATTGCAGAATTCCTCTCCAGACTGCCACTGATTTTATATCCACGGTTAATTTTTGGCTGTCTCCTCTTTGCTAAGAAAGTACGTATTGCAATTAAAAGTTCAGTATGCCTATCGGTGATCTGCATTGAGAGTCATGATCATGATGATATAGACCCCTTTTACTCTTCCCCTGTTATGTCAGCTGCTGACAGGATCTGTACCACTCTGCACAGGAGATTCCAGGATGACTTTGGAGAGTTGGGAACCCTTCCATAATGTCTCTTGGGCTGGTGGGAGACCCACTGCTGTCTTTATTTCTCCTCCTAGAGAATGGATGTTAGATGAGGACAGTAGACTTGGTTGTGATGCCCTTTCTTACCTGCCCAGTGTCAAAATGACCTGCCAACATCCACTCTCTCAGTTCCTGAATGTCACCTTGACCAAAATTAGTGGACGGCAGTGAGTGCTGCAGAAGTTAAAGCAGCAAGAGTCATTGTCCAGGTGGGTAAAATAAATCGGTTTATGGTCCTGTGTATTCTGCCAAACTGTGCCCTGTGGCTTTGGGTTCAGGATTAGATTGCCAATCAGATATCCCCCAGTGGCACGTTTCAATTGTGATTAAGAAGAGCTTGGCAGACCATTCAGTGCAGCCTTCCCATTTGGGGTGCTCTCATTGACATGTAGGCAAATCCAGCTGTTGATTTACACCCGTTAGGAAGTTAAATGGCCAGATCATGTGATTTGATGGTGGTAGTGTTTGGTGAAAGATTGTTGCCAGGAAACTGGAAGAATACAATGTTGTCCTTTTGAATGATGCCATAGAAATCAGCATTAAAAAATACACAACCTTTAGATTATCCTGATGAAAGAAAAAGGACAAACTTGCACTTATTTAGCTTCCTTCACAATCTCAGAATATCTTATTTCACAAGCTGTGTGGTATAGTGACTGTCATAATGTAGGAACCGCAACCACCAGACTGCACACAGAAAGCTGCTATAAACAGAAGTGAAATAACTCATGACCCTGTAAGTTTCTTTTCTGGTGTTCGTTAAGGATAAATCTTGACCAGGTTACTGCATGGACTCTTTTTGTTTTGCCTGATCTTTATATTCACCTGAGGGTTAGGTGTATTCCCCAGCACTGCACAAGGGGCTAGATTTTGTGTTCAAGTCCAGAGTGGGATATAATCTCACAAACTTCTGCCAGCACTCAGGTCAGGGCAATGATAGCTTTGAATTGAAATGTTCATTTGTCTTCTCTCTGACCTTCTGTGTGCTTCTTATATTTTCTGCTGCTGTTCGATTTCTAACACGTGGAGGTTCTTCTCGATCTGAAAGAACATACTCACTATCTGTTGCAGTTGGTGTTACTGAACTGTGACCAGGAGCAGGATAGCAAGGCTTCCTGCAGTCAGGCTGATATTAAACAAATTGAGGTCACCTAGCATGACGCCAGGTCTTTCATGTGACCAGCTCAGTTTTCCCAGTGGATAATTGGGAGAGCTGGTATCTGGTTGGTTTTGCCACTAGTAGGCAGGCAGAAGCCATTGTCTATCATTCTGTGCACTGTTAAGGCTAGCTATCTGTGCCACATGATTATATTTGTAAATTCCATTGGTTCAGGTCTTGTGTTTAAACATTAGACTGTCCTGAATCAGTAATCCTTAATTGGAACAGCAATATGTACTGAATATACATACATCATAAATTCAACTGGATCTTTCCACGACAATACACTGGGTGGAATTTCTTCCGGTGTGCTCTGTGTTCTGCTTGTGATGATTGTAACATTCTTGAGCCTTGCCTTTGCTGGCTGACCTGTCAGGACAGGTCTGTTCATGTCATGGTGCATACTATTTGCCAATCACAAATCCTTATTTCTATGTAATAGCTAAGAGTGTTTCTTAACAATGCAGAGAAATAGCAAACCTTGTGCCTAGTGATCTGCCTGTTTGCTTCCCGTTGGGAGGAAGGGTAGTGGATATTTAGGAAGGGGGCCCTCCGAAATCTGCCAAATAATCTTTGGCAGGCACTGTGCGCCATCTGCGAAGCATGTACAAGGGCTGATGTAAACATCTTGGAAAAATTTTGGCTCTGAATCAGTCATTTCACAAGCAGGCGCTTGCAGAGCCTTTGAACAAGCCTGTTCTGTCTTCTGGTTCCCATCAGTTACAAATAGTCACACTTTACACTCAATGCTGAAGCTTCATTCAGTTTATATCTCGCAGCTCTCCATGTGAATGTTATTGATCGACTGATGCACTGTTAGTCAGCACATGACGGCAGTCCAATAAGGAAATATGTCACCTGGGGATAGATATTCACGAAACAATTAGTTCCTAGCCTAGTATGAATAATGGGACAACATTACAGCGCTTGTAACTGAGAAGTACTGTATTTCCACATGTGACTATTATTGGGATGTTCCAACATTGAACCTTCAGAATGTTCTAAGGAAGGGGAAGACCTGAAACATTAACTCTGATTTCTCTTCACAGACGCTGCTAGACCTGTTGAGCTTTTCTAGCAATTTCTGTTTTTGTTTTTGGCTCAATCCTGCTCAACCTTGGTTCAGTCGGTGACCATACCAACCTGGAATGGACAGAAAATCAAATTCTTGCAATATCAAAAAAAAGGCCAGGCATTTAAGCCTTGACCTGTCAATCTCAGTAAGACCAACAACTGAAAACAGTTGACCTCTATACACGCCAGGATTCTTTAGTGGTGGAATTGGGGGAAAAGGAATTGGCTGGGGGGCTATTGGACAAGGAAGAGATCAGCTGTGGCCTCCTTTTGTAGTTGGACAGTCTTCAAGCAATAACTGTGCAAGGTCACTCTTAGACACAAGCCACTTGAGTGAGGCTAGTAAAATGGCTGCATCCAAGATTGAACAAACACTTGCACTTTCAGAAGACAGAACATAATAAAATGATCAAGAAGGCGAATAAGTTTCTTGCTTTTACTGACCGAGGAATAGAATATAAGAGCTGGGAGGTTATGCCGGCACATTGTAAACTGCTAGTCAGGCCACAGCGTAACTGCACGCAGTTCTGGTCATCACTTTGCAGGAATTTGTACTTTTTACTAGACTAGAGGAGATTTACAAGAAAGTTACCTTGCCCAGAGAATTTTAGTTATGAAGAAAAAAATTGGACAGGAAGGGTGCTTTTCTTTATACCAGCAGAAGCTAAGAGGAGAGCTCAGTGATGTATATAAAAATGAAGGCTCCAGATAGGTGAGTAGGAAGATCCTATTGCCCTGGGTTGAAGGGGCAAAGATTTGGAGGTTTCTCAGGGATTTGATGAGGAAATCATTGTCACCCAAAGGATAGTGGGGATCTGAGACAGACACCCTTATAACATTTAAAAAGTACTTGAGTACGCAATTGAGGTGCCATAACCTACAATTCTACAGACCATGCACTGGGAAGTGGGATGTGGCTGGATGATTACTTGGCTAGCAAGGATGTAATGGGACAAATGGCGAGTTTCTGAGCTATAATTTTCTGTAATTCAAGAAAAAGTGGTGCAGGAGTGAGTGGGTGGTGGTGGTGGGTGGGTGGGAGGCAGCGGGGGGTGGTGGTAGTTGTACTTTGATTTAGGGCTTGGCTCTGATGACCTATCATGCAGAATTGTTTTTTGTTTCCTTCTCCAGAGACCATGGATGTCTTCAACACCAAAAACCTGGCCATGCAGGCACAGAAGAAACTCCTGGGCAAGATGGCATCCAAAAGCATGGTCAACATCTTCATCGACGACACAAGCAGTGAGGTCCTGGATGAACTTTACTACGCGACCAAAGAATACACAAGAAACAAAAAGGAAGCCCAGAAGGTCATCAAAAACCTCATAAAAGTGGTGGTTAAACTCGGGGTTCTCTATAGGAACAACCAGTTCAATGCAGACGAGCTGATGCTGGTGGACAAGTTTCGCAAGAAGGTCCACCAGTTGGCTATGACAGCCGTCAGCTTCCACCAAATTGACTTCACGTTCGATAGGCGCGTTCTTGCAAACATCCTGAACGACTGCAGGGAGTTGCTGCACCAGGCCATCAAACGGCACCTAACATCCAAGTCCCACGGGCGCATCGACCACATCTTTAACCACTTTGCAAACTGCGAATTCCTGGCCACACTGTACGGCCCCACAGAGCCTTACCGCGCGCACTTGCAGAAGCTTTGTGAAGGTGTCAACAAAATGCTCGAAGATGGCAACATTTGATTGAGGCATTTGCAAGAATGACTGAGTGGGTGCACTGTGAGGTGGAGGGCTTTTTTGAAAACAAAAATGCGCGGCATAAAAATGTTTGTTTTGATGAGGTTCCTTTTTTCATACTGATGGCAACGTTACCAAACCACAATTTGATGCTGAAGTGTCTTTCTACAGGGATCCACTTAATAATTAGGGCATTGAACCTTGGTCTACCCAATTCCTAAGCCTGATTGCACAGTAATACACAGTCCAGCTCTGCAAGAAACAGAGAGGTCTTCCTTAGATGGGTGCAGGCTAAAGCCAAGCCCTTTGCCCAAATAATTGGAATTAAGCATGGCCTTGTGAGGGAAATAGCTTTTGCATGCACTGGACATACACAGTTTCCAGACCAGCTGGTGGGTGAATGGCCCACAAGGGGCTCCACTCAGCTGTGCTGACCCAAACAGTTTTGTTTAAAATACTAGCCGTGTCCATCAATCACTATTTTTGACTAACCAGCTGGCCTTGGCCATGGAAGGAGTGAGATGAGAACCTGTCTTGCTCATCCTGGACTAGAGTGTGAGGAGGTGGGTGAGTGGGCATTCAGTCACAGTTCCAGATTGGCTATCCAATAAACCTGGCTAGAAACTGTGTGAAGGCTAGACTTGTGCTGCTCCTGCAGCCAAATAGCCTGGCCGCTTTCCGTACCTGGGCTCAGGTGCGTGCTTGAGATACACAGTGATTCCCTTCAGTAAGAGTTGGTGCCTTTGGAGGGAGGAAGGGATAAAAATCAGGGTGGACATGGCCAAGGGAGGATGCAAGCCAAGTCAGTCAAGCACATTTCAGCCACTGTGAACCACAAAAATGGTCTTACAATTACAGAACCTCAGCCTCGAGGATATAAAAAACCAACTCTGAGTAAGACTGTGGTTTTAGCCTGAAGCCATTAATTCAATCTAATGTTAAGTGCGCTTACTGTTGCTGTTCCAGATTTGTACAGTTGACTTTTTAACACCAGTGTCAGATGATTATATACCAACTATATTTGAGGTAGAATGATACCAGCTATGATGCACTGGGCTTTTCGTTAGGCTTTGAGACACAGTTCCTGGATCCATTTATGGGTGGTTGCCTGTCAACTTTCTCTATTTGGACCCAGTTTGAATTGTTAGTCCTTTTTTTTTGGGGGGGAGGATCCTGTATTGGTTTTCAAACCTGTTTTAATGTGAAATGGCTTCAGTGCTGTGGTTCTAGTCTATATTTCTATCTCTTTTCTGCTTTACTTATTTGTACTGTAAGTTCACAGATGAAAAATGGTCAATTTTCCTTCAACTCTCCTCTCTTATTCAGTTATTGATTGTCACTTCCCTAACAGTACTGTTGCTAAATCTAAGCCTAGTTTATGTTTGCTGAGCCACACGGTATTTGTAGAGTTATTCGATCACTTAAATAGCATTAGAAGTGCTTCACCTGCCTCGAAAGAGGGATAAATATCAACAAGTATCACCAGCAATGGCCCCTCTGAGAAAGTGAGTGTAGATGTTGACCAGGACAAGTTTGAGCTGGACATTGATGGCCATCGGATCTGATTATTGTGGCAACACTTGTTATCTGGGCACATAAAAAAGAGACCATTTTAGCACCAGGTTTGTAAAAAGCTACATCTGTTTTATTTTGTTTCAAAAATAATTCATTAAATTTGTAGATGTATTTTGCAGTACAATCCAAATGTGAGAATTCTCAATGAAATACTAGATTAAATATGGTATGCAGTAAATTGCAACTCCTCAAACAACTTACGGTGCAGGTTGCAATTCCATTGCATTAAACATTTTCTGGTTCACACAGCCCAAGGGCTTTTACACTGCTTCCAGCCTCTCCCTATACAATAGCAGTCAGGCTCTGTTTACACGGCTGCATCAAGGTTCAGTGCTTTTCTCAGCAGGGAGTCTGGGAACTGGGGCTGTGCTGGTCTGCAACACTCAGTCTTGAGCAGCTCCTGCCACTGGCAGTAATCCCAAAGCAAGTCTTTCACTGAATTGATGCCTTTGAGTAATAACTGATGTTTGTCTTGGTTTGCATCACTGGGAACAATGCTGCATTACAGAGCCTGCATTAGGATAAACAACGCCAAAAAAACATCTTTTTCCAATTGCTCTTTGGAAATGTGCAAACCAATAAGGAGGTGGGTAACAGTCTCCTCTTCAGCTGTCTCCTGGGCAACATGCTGTGTTCCTAACACTTCAGGTGTGCCTGAAGGATCTGAGAGGGAGGTCCCTCTCTCACTACCAGCTAAGACACTTTGTTGGCCATTTCAAGTGATGAGGCATTTTATCTGATGAGTGAAACTTGCCCAGTGAGCAATCAGAAAGTTAGGTTTTTCTGAAGCATTAAATATGCCAAATGCGGGTCGATTTGTGATCAAAGGTGTTTTCAGCACAATCTTTTCTAGAAATGCAATGTCTTAATTAAATGGGACATCCCATAGCAACGTGGCCAGAACCAGCCCTCACTACACTCGGCTCAGACAGGCGCATGCACAGTGGGGATCTATGCAGAGCTTGATGCAGCTGCAAACAAAGATGATCATTGGATTTATTTGGTGGTTTTGTATATATTGTGTCAGTGTGAATGTTTGACCTCTAGAACTAGTGGAAAACATGGTTCAGGTGATTGTCACAGCACAGGGTCAGAGTATGGGCTCGACCAGTATTACATACAAAAGCACCAAGAGCAGCTGAAGAGTATCTTTTTACTTGCAGGGAGACTGGAGCATCGCTCTGTCATTCCTAGGGTCTGTTTCATTTGAGCTATAAACTCCTGGCTCTTGAGCCATTCCTAGTCCCTCTGATTCATATCCCCAGCCTCTTCAGATATTCTGTGCTGATGGTGAATGTAACAAAAGGTGCTGTCAGCTCACTTGCAGATTACTGTGCTCTGATCTGGATGAGCTGACAGTGGATTTGTGTAGGAGACAATAACATGGTCCATGTACAGGGAGATCCTGACCTGAACCATTCTGCCTGTGATCATCATTTCTCTCTTCTGTTACCCTCATGCACTTGTATAGTACAATCTGCCTGTAAAGCACGTAAGACACCACTTGTACTGAGGTACGATGAAAATAGTAAATCAAATCCTTCCCTGTACGTACATGATTGTATCATGAGGCTGTTAGTGACCTTCCCATGGGCACAGTACTGGTCTGATCACAGTAAGAGTTTACTGGACTTGTGATGACCTCACAGAGTTTTGTAGTTGATATTAAGCCTGAATACAGATCCCACCAATTTCTGATTTCCTTACTCCCTGCCTTCTGTTTATAAATGAGTGTGATGATACTAATTTTCATGGATTGTGAAATGATGCCAGCCAGGAGTGTACTTCTGCAGATTCCCATAGCTCTGGGCCAATCTTCTCCCACAGAGCTGTTGGCTTAGTGTGAGTTTAACATGTGATACAGAGCCGCCCTGTCGCTAGGGTCTAACAAAGCTTCGAGGTGGAGGATAGGAAGGATTGGGAGGCCATGCTATCAATGGGCTTCACATGGTACAGCTAGATGTAAAAGGAATTGTTGACCCTTGGTATGTGACGAAGCAAGGTCATCACAGAGCCATTGTCTTCATTCGGACTGCTGATCACTGAGCTACCAGTTACAGCTCTGTGCTTTAGCTGGTGAGTTCACGCATTTAGCTGTTTCCTACTTCCCAACTATCCCCTCCCAGTCATGGGAGGTCAAAGTCACTCTCTCCAGTCTCCATCTGGTAACGATGAAATGTTGAGCAGATTGGGATTACAAATCATTGCCACTGAGGAAGCAGAGCCAGTTTGAGAGCTATCATCTGTGATTGTATTGGAAGATGTGGGCTGGTGAACTTTACCCACTCATTTACAACTAGTCATCACCCAAGGAATCACACTCTAGTCTACCTGCAGAAACTTTGTATATTACTGATGTACTGCTCCTTTTCCTGGTGATAGAGGGAGTTATCCAACTGGAAGAATGTTTCCCTTTGGAATTAGTTAATTTGCCTGTCTACATTCCTTGTTTGTCCTGCTGTCAAGAGCTGGAATGTTACACAAGGGAGTAATGTAACTAACCCCTGCATTCCTCTACAGCCAGCTCCTGATTTCGATTAACCAAATATGGATTGCTTGTCTCCACAGGGAAGGGGGAAATCCAATACAAGCCTAATTGTGTTGTTAAATACAGGTACACTCGAAACTGGCAGACTCGATGCCAAAGCTGTGCTGGATTTTGGGCAGGGGGTGAGTTTGAGCTAATTCTTGTTCGTTGGGGTTGAGGAGAATGGAAATAGGTTCAAGCAGCAAAGCAAACAAGTCCAGGATGCAGACAGAGTTCAGCAAATTGTCCAAGGAAAGTTCATTCTAATTGAATTTTTTTTTAGAACAAAATTATATGGGGCACATTTTAAGTGCCCACTTTACGGACAACTCGAGTTTATGGTCTGTTGATTTTGGGAAAATGTACCTGTATTAGTGACAGGGTCTCCTTCCCCAACCCCGTCCCCCCTCTCTTTCTCTTTCTCTCAATGGTCTTATGGAAGCTGCATTAACCCTGCCTTTGGTTAGCACTGTTGCAAAAGAACACAAAAAGGCCAAAAAGCATTAGCCCATATAACCAATGCTGAATGGAGTGTGGATAGAGGCCACTGGATTCACAGAGCAGCCAGTCTGTCAGAAACAACTGGCCCCATCGATGATGGCACCATGTTGGTCGTAGCGATATTTCAGGACAGTCTGAACCACTAAGGATTTTCAGTCATTGCAAACACAGAACATTTCATTTTCCATATTGGTGTGGGCATCACCAGCGAGGTCAGCATTTGTTGCCCATGCCTAATTGCCCTTGAGCTGAGGCGCTTGCTGGGCCAGTTCAGGATCAACCACAAGTGTTGTGAATGCGGACTCACATAGGCCCGGATTGCCTTCCCTTAAGGGCATTAGTGAGCAAATGGGTTAGTACAACAATTAGTAACAATAACCATGAAACTAACAACATATTCTGAATTTATTAATGGATTTTTAAATTTCCACCAGTGGCTGTGGTGGGAGTTGAGCCCGAGTCCCCAGTCTGGGCCTTGGGGTTACTCGTCCAGTGACATTACCACTACACCACCATCTATTCATTATGTAACAAATGTATATTTTACTAGCATACATTTGTTTTTCAAATACTGAGAAACATTTCCTTGGTAAGAAAAGAGAAAAATATACATTTTACCGCGTGCTGAGTTTAAAAAATTGTGAGGTTGATTTAGAGAGAGTCACATAGTGACATTACATCTGTGCTTTTAAAAAAAAAATAAAAATCTGGTGAACACAGAGATTTGAGCTGGTGGTGTTTCTGGATTCTGCAGATAGTAAGTGAACTATTTACTCTGTGCCCATAAAAACTGCAAGTAGCACTTATCTTTCCAAACTTTATCAGTCGGTGGGGGGATGAGAATATCTCGCATTTTGGTAGCAGGTCTATCAGAGTCTGGGTAAAGTTGCTAACTCTAACCCTATTCCTGTGACCTCCTCTTTCCATCTATGCCACCCTGTTAGACAAACTTTCTATTGACTATCTCCCAGTATTTTTATGACTAATAAATAAGCGTTCAAAGAAATTTGCAACAACAAAAGCCATGTCTTTAATGCTGCAAGAATTTTTCAGTGGCTAGGAGATTAATCTTTCATTCCTGTTGACTCTGGAATAATCCTGGAGGGTTGACAACCCTATCCCTAGTGGAAGCAGTTTAAGGTGATGTGTTAAGAGTTGTAAGAAAAGTCCAAAGTGTTAAACCATGCTTGTTTTGCAGCTAAACGAAATGAAAACAGAGAGGGAATGAGCTATTGCTCCCTGAACATTCACTTGCTTCCTGAGCCCAGCGCTTGGAAATGCAGCCCACATCAAAACTGCTACACTTTGCGGAGTGGTTCAAATGCTTTATTTTTCTCATCTGATCTTTGTTTTCTGTCAAGACGGCCATGCCAAGGTAAGCGTTGGACTATTATTATTATGGGTCTTTAAAGAAGGAGACCCACAAATAATCTGGGCTGCTTCCAAATTGGGACCTCTTATCCTCATCATGTCACCTCCTCAAGTTACAATGATTTACCTTGTTGCCTTTCTCAGGGCTGCATCAGGATGACTATTTGAGGCTTACTACTTGCAAGATGAATATAAATCAAACTGAAAATGACATGGGGCTCCTTCAAGGTGTGAGAAATGTTCTAATTATGTTGTGCTCACATTCACCTTGGAAATGTTCAAGAAATTTAAATTCCAAACAGAAAGCATTCACTCAGGGTGTCTCTGAGTATCTCGCAGGCTGGAATTAGGGAAATGCTGATCCTTTCGGAAGTGACCGAGCCTTGTTAACACGATAATTGTCCTGGTGTGTCTGTTATTACACGCACTGCTCAGTCAGGAACTGAACCAGCATCTACTGTAGGTTCAATCCTCAGCCTGTGCAAAATCAGTTGGTGTCTGGGATTCTGCAGTTGGTTTCCAGCTCTGATTCTTCACTAACAACCAGGTCAATGGTTGTCAGGAACAGGTAGGAATGTGGAGATGAAGTCATAATAATGATCTTGTTGAATGGCGGAGCTGGTTTGAGGGACCAAATACCCTGTTCTTTTATGTGGGTATATGTGTCCCAGGCTAGGACTGGAAAACAGGAATCCTCTTGAGTTCCTCTAGCTGGAAAATCTGCAACTTAAAAAAAATTGGGATTTCAATCATTTGCATTCCTTCCCATTGCTGTGTTGCCTCCCAACACTCTCAGCTCAGACTGTCATGTGAAAAATACTTGTGTGGGTGGGTGAGACACCAGCAGGCACAAGTACATGTCCATCTCAAAAAAAAAAGGAAGGAACTTCAGAAGAGTTTAGGGAGAGAGCAACTACATTCAGGTTAAAGAGAAATGACCCTGACAGCTGTAAAGAGAGAGTATGGAATCATTCTGTCCATATTAAAGTCAAAAGAAACTGATATATGGAAGTGGATGCAGAGACACTTGTGAGCTTGTCTGTGCGGACTGTGCCAGTCTATATTGGGAAATGTACCACTACAAATAGAGACGTGACTGTTGGCTGACCTACTCTAATATAAACTGTGGGAAACAGACTGTAAATTCCACATCCATTTTAGCCACTTCTCCATCGAAGTTCTTTTCTGAAAAGTGCCTTTTAAATATCTCTTTAAACTGTTTAATTAGAAACAGGAATAAGACATCTGTTTGGGCTTATTCCACCAGTCAATTGGATTATGCTTATCTGTGCCTCAATTCCATTTATTAGCATTAACTTCAAATTTATTGGTGCTGTTCCCTAACAGAAATCTATCTGAGTCTGAAACTCTAATTGCCTCATTTCACACAGCCTTTGAGGAAGAAAATTCCAGATTTTCCACTGTCTTTTGTTAGAAAAAATGCTTCCCGATTTCCCTCAAGACTGTACCCCTTCGTTCTTGATCTTCCCCTCCACCCCCCCGCCTCCCACATAGGAAAGGGTTCCCCAGGTAGTTTTGCTCAGGCCCTCAGGAAACAACATTTAACAGGTCAAATTAAGACGTTCAGTGAAAACGATCAAACGTTCAGCTAGGTAACACAGAAAAACCAAGAGACATTTTCATTTTGTTCATTCAGACAGGGTTATAAGTTGCTTTCTTATTTCAGACTTCCCAGAGATAGGCATCCAGGAGACGTATCGGCCAGTTTAGATAGACAGTCTCTCTCTACTCTGTCCAATACACACATCTGAAATAACTCCATGAAGGCCAGAATCTTGCAACCAAGTCACACTTTATTTCCATGGGCACAGTACATGACACTGGCCCAGCTAGCACAGAGCTGGCTCCTAAAATGAACAACATCTGACATTCCTGTTTATATCTGTCAGCCAGGACTCCCTGATTGGTGCTGTTAACCTGGTCCAGCCAGGGAACTCATATTCTATGACAGCTTCCTGGCAGACCTCATTCCAATCACTACACCATTACTCCTCGGTTTTCCAGCCCAACCATAATGCTTCCAGTTGATTTACCAAGTTAAAGGTCATTTCGGGCAAATGCCATCCAGGAATTCACTCGAATGTACAGTTGACTTTGCATAATGCTCATGCAGGCAACTGCACCCCTTCAGTCTTTGAACTCATGATCTTCAAATGAGAAGCAAATGCTTCACTTGGTATTTAACCCAGAGCCCACTGTTTTAATTATGAAGTATCTCCCAGGAGCTTGTCCCACTGGCTGATATTTGATAGATGAGAATAAGCTAAAACTCTGCTGTGACCAATCTGAAGAGCCCAAGACTTTGGAATCCAAACTATCTTGGCCACCATCCAGGCACTTACTGAGGAGCGGTTCAGAGGATTGCTCACCTACTGAACTGAAAATTGAAATACTTGCATGTTAAAAATACTCCAAGTAAATTAAATTCAACCGTTTCTCATTAACGTTACACACTCATTACAATGTCCTGAAGGGGTTTAAAGCAGCAGTATGGATTTCTCAGGCCTGTTCAGTTTTCATGTTGCGACATCTGATGGGTCAGTTGGTGAGTACCCTGAGCACATAGAGAAGGAAGCTCTCGAATAAACACACCAGTCTTCATAATGATGCTACCACAGCTGAAAAGCTCTCTCTCTCTCTCTCTCTCGTGCACACACACTCACACACACATTGTCTAGTCTGACATGTATAAAATTAGCTTTCAGGCAGTTACGCCTCTGGAACTGAATCGTTGTTCTTTTGTATGTTGAAGGTAAATTTGCCAACAAACTACTACCCTTGATAGTTATAATCTATAAAATCAATTTCAACATTGAGCCTATACCAAGTTCAACATCTGACATGCATTCTTTAATCATATCCATGTTTTGTCTTTCAAATAGTGTTAATCAAACTGTTCAGATGTGTAAGGACACGCTTGCGAAAGAGATGGGACCTGAATCCAGGCCTTTTGGGCCAGGGGAAGGGATACTACCACTTCACCACAAGAACTCTGTCTGACATGTCCATTAATTGCTAAAATGGTCCCTTTTTTCCAACTTTTTTTCTGAACAGGTCGATTAGAATTCAGGCCTTCCAGTCCAGGGGTGGGTCACTACCACTGCACCACAAGAGGACTCTTTGGGTCCACTTTATTTTTCTTCTGGTCCACGGGTAGCGATACTGCCACTGCACCACAAGAACCCTGTCTAATCATGTCCATAGATTGTCAAGTTGGTCCTTCTTTTTAACAGGGTTTGGAACACTACCACTGCACCACAAGAGGGCCCAAAATGAACTGATTGTGTTTTTATTTCTCACCACCATTGCACCCAGAAGGAAAATGGTCCTTATTGCACATAAGACCCAATTTGATCTCAGATTGGTTCCCAACGAAGTAATCAAACTTTCCTTCCAAAATGCATCACTGCCCTCAATCCTCCTACCCTGTGCTACCCACTCTTCCTTCCCCCTTGGTCTCTATGCATTCCCTCCTGCTCTAACGCAGTATTTTTAAAGTTTAGCATCGTAAGATTGCTTAAGAAACATTGCTTCATGATCATAAGTTAGTTTCACCTTGGCACAGTGACTTAGGGCTGAATCTTACCTTGTTTTGGCTAAATCTGAGTTGTGTCAAGAATTTTGGAGGGATTTCCATTGTGAGGCCTAGTGAGTTTTCTCGCTGTACCTTACTAAACTTGTTACATTAGCTACATATCCTGCCATCATGGCACCATTACACACGATTCTGGCTCCATCTTACCATGTACCATGCCCTGAACAACCAGCCACTCAGCAGATAATAGCTGAAAGACCAGCACCTTTTGCACCCATGCAAAGTAAGGGAGGAAATTACGAGACCCCTCGCAGAAATATCTGCATCATCTATAACTACAGGTGACGTGCCTGATGACTGAAGGGTGGCTAATGTTGTACTTTGATTTAAGAAAGGTTGTAAGGAGAAACTGGGGAACTATAGACCTGTGAGTCCGACTTCGATTGTGGGTAAATTGTTGGAGGAGATTATAAAAGATAGGATTTATGGACATTTCGAGAGGCAAAAATTGATTCGGGATAGTCAGCATGGTTTTGTGTAAGGAAAATCATGTCTCACAAAGATGATTGAGTTTTTTGAGGAAGTTATCAAGAAGGTTGATGATGGCAGAGCAGTAGATGTTGTTTATTTGGGTTTTAGTAAAGCCTTTGACAAGGTTCCATACGGTAGACTAATTAGTAAAGTGGGATTCAGGGTGAGCTTGCCTATTGGATGCATAATTGTCTTAATGGCAGGAGAACAGAGAGTAATGGTGGAGCGTTGCTTTTCAGACTGGAGACCTGAGACCAGCGG